CAGCAGCAGCAGCAGCAGCAGCAGCAGCAGCAGCAGCAGCAGCAGCAGCAGCAGCAGCAGCAGCAGCAGCAGCAGCAGCAGCAGTGCCTACCGGCGGCAGCCGCCCCTTTATGCCTTCAGTTAAAACAACTCCATTTGTGGATTGAAGAAAAACTGCCCCCTTGGCCATTGCCCGCGCCACGTGTAGATACACCGCAACTTCGGAGTTCCGACGCATGCCGCTCAGCACCGTCGCCTCGCCCGGCAGCCCTGTGGCGAAGTCTGCAGCAGCAGCAGCAGCAGCAGCAGCAGCAGCAGATTTGCATGTGCGGGTGGCGGCCAACGCCACTCGGCAGCCTAGCAGCTGCGTTCTGCAGCCACAAAGCGCGAAACTGCTGCCGAGAGGGAAAGCACAGCAGCAGCCGCAGCCAACAGACGCAGGCGAAGCCCCTGCAGCAGCAGCAACTGCTGCTGCTGCTGCTGCCCGCGTAGTGCGGGGAAGCAGCAGCAGCAGTGAGACAGAAACAGCAGACGCGCCCTGCATGCATGTGCTGCTGCTGCTGCTGCTGCTGCTGCTGCTCACGAATGTGGTTTCTGTGCATTCTGTGCAGCCCCAAATGCCTTATGGCCATCCAGTTACTTAGATAAGTTCCGTGGGCACAAACAGGCAGCTCAGCAGCGCTCTCCACTCTCCGCATGAACAAGTCGCTGCAAACAACAAACATAACAACCAGCTGCTGTTGCTGCTGCTGCTGCTGCGCTGCTGCTGCTGTGCTGCTGCTGCGCTGCTGCTGCGCCGCAGTTGCTGCCACACCAGCACGTCCCCTGCCCGTGCTGCTACCTCTGTCTCGCGTGTCGTTTCCTCTGCTGCTGCTCGTGCTGCTGTAGTGATTTCTGCTGCTGCTGCTGCTGCTGCTAACCTGCGTATGTATGGAATGGTGTGCCCTTGTGTGGCTCTTAGCAGCCATTTGCCACTGAGTCGTTCAACCTTCTTTGCTGCTGCCTTATCTCCGTGATCTGCACAAGCAATTGAGCCACAGACAATTGTGCTGCCGCTTCTGCAGCACAGGCTCTCGCCTGCTGCTGCTGCTGCTGCTGGGGGGATGGTGAGGCCACCGCCGCTGCTGCTGCCGCTGCTGCAGCCGCTGCTGCAGCGGCTGCGTTCAGCGTGAGCACAGTCGCAACACCCCAACGCCGCCAAATCCTGAGTCGAGTCGGTTTGCTGCTCCTCTAGCTGCTGCAGCATCTCTCCCTCCTCTTCTTGCTGCTGCTGCTGCTGCTGCTTCATGAGGGCTGGGCAGGTCTCTACTTCCGTTTTGTCGTACACAAGTTCATATCGCCGCTTAAAATTTCCTTCAACGGCCTGAAGACAGCAGCAGCGGTAGCGGGGTTCGCAGTCACAGCAGCAGCAACAGCAGCAGTAGCAGCAGCAGCAAAAGCAGCAGCAAAAGCAATAAACACAACAGAGAGGAGGAGCAGCAGGAGGAGCAGCAAAAGTAGCAGCTAAGGCAGCAACAGCAACTAAGACTCCAAACAAAAGCAGCAGCGATGCACCCAGCTGCGGCAGGACAGTTGTCCGGCAGCAGCATGAGTACAAGCATCCGCCCTCACCAATAGTACCAGAAGCAGCAGCAGCAGCAGCTGTAGCAGCAGAGAACGCAGCCGCTGCATAACAGCGAATACGGCGAGCACTACAGCGATCACAGGCATCAGCAGCAGTACGAGCAGCAGCAGCAGCAGCAGCAGCAGCACCAGACTATACTCCCAAGGTCACCCCAGGTGGAGCCTAGCACCCCATACACCACAGGCGTCAGCAGCAACACGGGCAGCAGCAGCAGCAGCACCAGCAGCAGCAGCAGCTGCAGCAGCAGCAGCAACTTACACTCTTGAGGTCATTCCAGGTGACGGAGCGCATGCACGGCAGCGCCAAGAGGTCTCGGACTCTAACAAATCCGTCTTCTCGAATGCGCAATCGAAATAGAGAAGCTCCATGTCTCAAGATGAAGTTTAATTTCTTTATTAAAATGTAGCCGCCACGCGCAGAAAAGGCGCAGCAGCAGCTGCTTTCGGGGTTGCTGCTGCTGCTGCTGCTGTCCTCATTAGCAGCTGCGCGACCACCTGGTGCTGTGCAACCTGCACACACAGAAGGGCCGTCACTGAGAGTTGCTGCTGGTGCTGCTGCTGCTGCTGCTGCTGCTGTTGCTTCCAGTGCCTCTGCTGGCGTGGAGCAGCATAAGTTGTTGTCGATACCTCCTGCTGCGCATTCAGAAGAAGCGCAGCAGCCGCAGCTCCGCGCTGCTGCTGCTGCTGCGGCTCCTGTATCTGCTGCCTTAAGACTGTGAAGAGGCCGAGTTGCACCGGAACTTGCTGCTGCAGATCCTTCTGCCAGAGTGCATTCGTGCTGCTGCATCTGCAGACCGTGCCTGCTGCTGCTGTTGCAGCTGCTGCTGCCACTGCAGCTGCTGCTGGTGCCGCTGCAGCCGCTGCAGCGCGTCTGCTCAGTGATAGCGGTCTCTCTCCCTTGCTGCAGTCCTCGAAGCAGACAGTTGCTGCTGCTCTTAGTCTCCCCGCCGCACCTGCACTCCCTGCTACTTCTCCGTTTAGTGCTGTTGCTGCTGCTGCTGCTGTTGCTGCTGCTGCTGCTGTTGCTGCTGCTGTTGCTGTTGAGAGCGCCGACGTTCCGAAGGCAGCTGCTTGCGAAAAGTCGTTTTGGTGTACGCTGCTGCTGCTGGTCATCCTCACGTGGTGCAGCAGTATCGGCATCAGCATCAGCATCAGCAGCAGCAGCAGCAGGAACAGCAGCAGCAGCGAGAACAGCAGCAGTTGGCTTGAGCCTCAATGCGTTGTCCGCGTGGTGCCCGCCAGCTGCAGCCTTCTCTTTCGTGCTGCAGCAGCAAAGAGGCGCTGCAACGCTGCAGCACTCATCTCCGTCGCTGCTGCTGCTGCAGCACCTGCTTGAGCTGCTAGTTTCTCCGTGGCTCTCCAGCAGCTGAAGTCCTTTCCTGCTGCCCCCGAGCATGCACGGGAAAGCAGCAGAAGCCGAGCCATCTGCAGCAGCAGCTGCTGCGGCAGCAGCGGCCGCAGCAGCAGCAGCTGCTGCTGCTGCTGCTGCTGCAGCGCCGCACAACTTTGCCGCCGCCACCTTTGAAGCGGGAGGCTCGCCGTGGCTGCTGCCGCTGCTGCTGCTGCTGCTGCTGCAAAGAGGTGCTGCTGCTGCGCCGTGTGCACAAACAGCAGTATCTCCCTTAAGCACAGCAGAGAGGTGGGCGGTTGAGGGAAGCTGCTGCCGCTGCTGCGCTGCTGACGAGCAGCAGCTGCTGCAGCAGCAGCGGAACGCCTCCCTCTCCAAGAGGTTAAGAAGGTGCTTTGGTGGGGGACGCAGCATCCAGCGAGGACGCTCCTTCTGTTGCTGCTGCTGCTGCTGCTGATGGGGTTGCTGCTTCTGCTGGTTGTTTCGGTCCTCTCGCTGCTCCTGCTGCTGCTGCTGCTGCTGCTGCTGTGCGTGCGATAGTCGCAATTCCCTTTGCGGTTCCTGCTGCCTCAGCTCTTGCTGCTGCTTCTGCTGTGCTCGTTCCTGGTCTTGTCCAGTGTGTTGATGCTCCTCTTCCTGCTGATCCTGCTGCTCCTGCTGCTGCTGCTGCTGCTGTTGCTGCTGCGCTGTGGGCGCTGCGTTGGCCTCTGACAGCAGCAAGTGTGCGGCAGCAGGCCCCGTAGCCACCTGGGGCACTGCAGCACAGGAGAGCAGCTCGGAGCTGCTATCTGTGTGTGCGCAGCTGTTTGTGCTGCTGCTGGGGCTGCTGCCTTTGCTGCCAATACGCAGAAGGCTGCTGCTGCTGCTGCTGCTGCTGTCGCTGCACCTGCCACTGCCACCGCCGCTACCGAAGCTGTCTCCGCTGTTGCTGCTGCAGCTGCTGCTGCAGCTGCCTACAAGCGCGCCCCCCTGTGGAACTTCAAGGCGGACGCTCTGGCTTCTGCTGCAGCAGCTGCTGCTGCAGCAAGCGCTGGGCTCGCTTTGTGCCACAGCCTCATCTGTTTGCAAATCAAGAGGCCCTGATGCTGCAGCAGCAGCTCCTTCACATTTGGTCCTAAGAGCTGGGAACTGCGTGCAGAGCATGCCGTGCTGGCACTTGTGTTGTTGTTGCTGCTGCTGCTGCAGCCCTTTGAATGGTTGCTGGGGCGCCCGCCGCTGCTGCTGCTGCTGCTGAAGCCGCGGCTGCGCAGAAGGGCTCCCCGATAAAGAACTGCAAGAACACCTGAGAGTCCTGAGGTCCTCCATCTACGTTCTGTGAGAGCGACTGCTGCTGCTAACATTAGCAACGAAGACACGAGCGGGTCCGCGTCGCAAGTGATCCCGGCCACTACAGTTCCTTCTGCATACGTCGAACTGTCTGTACACTTCAGCTTTCGTCACTATAAAAAGCAAAACCGCAAAAAAAAACCCCAACAATGTCGTAAGCATGCTGGTCAGATCTGCCTGTCCATCAGCAGCAGCCCCGGCTCTGCAGCTCGTCCATTGGAGACGCACCCGAAAGGCTCTGCGGACTCTTCGGCCTCCCCTTCTCGCACTCTTTTAAAAAAGCAAATGAACTGCGAGAAGCTCTCACTTAAGAGAATGCAGAAGGATGAGACCCAAGCAGAGTCGCTCGCCTGGTTTGAGTGGACAGCACGTGGCTGAGGCAACTGCACTGGAACAAATTGGTGTATTCCCCGATCGTGGCACTCTTATTTATTCGACGTCATGTAAAGAAGCTCGTTATTTTTGAAAGGCATTGCGACGAGTTGAGGAGTCTTGTGCCAATTGTGATTTCCCCCACCGGCTCATGCGGCTGTTGCTTCGTGTCCACTGAGTGTACAGCCCAGCCTCAGGCCCCGAAGAGGATATTTCATGAGTTTTCTCTCTTTTTCCCGCGTTAAGTTACATCTGTTTAGATGAATAGTCATGGAGTAAGCGTGTTCCTTACGCAACAGAGAGGCACTTGGGGTAGTAGCCGCTGGCATCCACCAGGATCACGAGGTGTCGACGTGTACTACATTGATTTTCGCTCACTCACCACAAAAGATGTACAGAGATAAGTAACTATGAATCGAAAGAGAAGAATATTCCTAGAACAGGCAAGAGCTCGCGGTCAGCGTAGTGTTGAAAGCACCTGCTGCTTCTCCACGGTGGGAATGGTGTAGTAATGTAGAGTTCTGACAGTTCTGACACTTTAGTTCGGATTTTTATTGCCAAGTTAATAGACTTGAGCTCGTTGTTTGTATCTCTGCGTTCAGACTTCCCAGTAAGGGCTATCTTGGGCAACATCAATGCTTATGAACCAGCAAGGCCTCTCGTTAGTGTACCTGTGTAGGCGACAATAAGAAACAGCATTTATTACCATGTCCTCTGTGTACTTCTTCTTATCCATTGTCTGAACTTTTCGGGAAGAGAAAAGGGATTAGTTGCTGACAAAGTGCCAAAGTGCAACAGTCACTAATGTTCGCTGAGTCTGTATAAATATGTATTATATAAATGTCGTGAAGCAAATATTTGTACCTGAATTACAACGAAAGAGATGGTTTCGTAGCCTATGAAGTGCTAACTGCAGGGCGCAACACCCCGTATGGCGTAGGAATTGGTTTATTCTATCTGTTGGACTGAAGTGACAGGAAGTTCAATATAAATGAAATTGAAGCGAAATTTAGATTATTTTACCACAGTCTTGACATTTTCAGAACTCATTTGCAGCGGAACGCAGGGTTACTTTCCGTAGTTGAGTAGCGATTGTTTCGTTTTTCCAAGCCCAGTTAGTGCGTAGTGTGGCCAACGGGGCTGAATATGTAGGCGCATACTGTGGGTACGGGTTAAGGAAACAAGGATAGTTGCCAAAGCCGGTGGAGTAAGGCTGGAAGTGCCTTAAAGGGCTATAGTCGACAAATAGGCCGAGCTTATTCTCTACGACGGAGGAATGTTGGGGGTCCTTTGCTCTGGGACCATGTCACGGCGAAGCCAAGGAGTGCTAATTTTCGTAGCATGAAGCATATACTGAGGAAGCCAGAATAGGTCTTTTTTACTGGCCAGTGTTGGCCACGCAATGCTACTGGGAAAGTGACGCATAGAGTAGTTCCAAACGAAGCCAGAGGGTAAAGTGGTAACACTTCCCACTTTTCAAGAGTGTTCTCATCGCTAGAAGAAGCCCCGAATGTAGGTCTGAGGACTCCTCAAAATGGACTTACTGATTTGAAATATTTGGATTAAGTGCTCTGTAGCAGTTCATACTCCAAGATACAGCGGGGTTTCCAAAGCCACTTGTTACGCCGCTTCGTTGACTCCATATCTGTTATTCTGAATAATCAAAGAAATATTTAGATCGCCCTTGGTCATATCACAGCTTAGTCACCCTAATGTAACAATTTGCGACCCAGAGGGTCAGGGGGCTCGGCCTGCTGTCTCAGCTCTAGTCTGGCTTCTCAGCTACCCATGCCAGCGCATTGTACAAGGACAGAACCATTAATGCAATATACTGAAAAGCCAAGCCTTCAATTTTCACCAGAGTATATGAGAGGCCCGGTCCTTATTGACATATCATTGCGTGCACGGCCTCACGGGAAGAGCGTAGCTATTCCATTCAAGAGGAACCATTACGGTATGAACATTTGTCAGTATTAGTGGTCATTGTTATTGTCCAGGCAGTGCGATAAAGGAATCTCAGAAGCAGAACTCCCCGCCTCAGAAAGAAGCAACTCATTTGGAGCTGGGGAAAGGCTCCTGCGCTGCCTGTCGATCTGGCTGCGAACACCGCATAACGTCTACACTAAAGGTGCCCGTAGCACTCTACAGAACACAGCCTTGTGATCTTGATTTCTGTTGACAGTTCAGAGTTCATGGATTTCTTTGTTGGATTGCTTCTCTGAGGCTTTTTTTAATTCTTCTGCTTTCGTTCCCTTCCGGGGCCCCATATACTGCTCAGACGAATATGTTTCTGAGCTAATTCCCCCCATTTCTTTGTGGATTTCAGGGTTTAGTGGAACTTGTAAATGCCATTCTCAGCACTGCACCGCTAACCCTCCCTGGGCACTTGCTCCGGGAGGCGCCTTTTAGCAATGAAACCATTCAAGCTTCTTCGTGGGCCAAGCGGTATATAATGGTGTCTGTGACCCCATATACCATTCACGTAGAGCCTAACACTCCAATCATTTCTCTGATTTCTTCGTACAAGGGTAGAGGTTAGCCTTAAGCTCATTGCCGTATTTTTCGGTTGCTTTCCTGACCTTCCATTCGCTCCACACACTTTTGAATCTGCACGAAGCAATCGAATGCTTCCGCGGAGCAAATTCATGTCTTTGGAAAACACAACTGGTGAAGATAGGGAAAGTGAATGATGCAAAGTAATTGTCTCTTTGCTTGCCTCGCTCGAAGCCGCGTGGTTCAGCCGTAGTTAGGCTTCAGGGGTTTGGACACACCCTTCGAGCGAAAGACAGTCGAACTGTGGGTTAAAGGCGCAATTTCACTCTATCACATGCAGCGAATTAATATTTGAAGTGCCACGTTCGCCAATAGATGTGATTTAAAGCCCTTAGCCCACGGTTCAGCTTGCGTAAACCCGTGTGGCTGCTTGGTAGGTGGGAGCTACACATACCGCCTCATGGGGGAGAGTTATGGCACAAGGTTGAAATTCTGTTTGTCTTTTAAAAAGAGATAAGCAGAAGAAGAATTGTAAGGATTGCTTAGCCTGCTTTACTATAAGTGTGCGCGTACTGCTGCCACGTGTGAGGCACCGCTGGTCACCGTGCTGAGCTGGCTGCTTTGATCCATGAGCACACAGAGGAATGCCCTAAATTTTGTTCCCTTTTTTTGCTGTTAATCCACCAACAATATTTCATTAAAGGTATTCTGAAGTTTAAGGTTGTCTGTGGCTGCTGTCCGATGCCTCATCGACCAGCAGGGTCTCTATGGAGATCATCTAGTGCCCAGTCGTGAAAACCCCAAGACGCACAGCAGAAGCGCGTTTTGAGTTTTTTTAAACTTTTTCCTGAACAATTTCAAGCCAATATTTTCTTCAAAGTCCCTGTGCTGGCCCCAAATCACTGGTCTCTGCTGCCGCGGCACCATTTCGCTTCCCTGGTGAAGGCTCCTCTCAGTGTCGTAATTTGTTTCTCCCCTGAGAGTCAAAGTTGTATATCAATTCACGTCCTGCCAACCAGAAACTAGATCTAACGCGGGAAAAATGAGGGGGCGGTCCTCGTGGGTAGGAGCTGCCTTCGTGGCCCTACTTCTGGGACTTTTTTCAAGTGCTGCGTGTTCTCACTCGTCAAGTGTGACTAAAGAAAATAAGTTAGAGGCTGCGGATGAAAGCGCGTCCACTCATGAGCCTAAGAGCTCAGTGAACGCTGCAGAAATTCACAAACACCAAAACGCCTCAGAGAATGGTCAAGCTCTCCTGCAAACCAGCAATACTGCCGCTCATGCCAGATCAGCCCAGCCCGAAGACGTAACAGATGGTGAGTCGGAACCAAACATGCAATAGCTGAATCAAATGAAATAAACCAGTGTGCAGCTATTCCTCTGCCTGCATATCCTCCCATCCCGCCTGCGGGTTCTGGCTGGCCATCCACATCACGCAGTGCTTGTGCTGCTGCTTCTGAAGACATTAGCCTGTGCATCATTTCCCACTATGTTTAAAGTGGCGTGCAGTCTATTCCTTGAGCCGATATGAGCGTTCGCATATCCGTGCCTACAGACTGCGTGATCGAGCACAACAAAAAAAGGGTTGGAAAACTCAAAAAGCCTCTCATGCCGATGGAGCGGAACTCCGATGCTGTTTATCAAGCGCTGAGTTTCGCCAAATATGTAATGGAAAATGGTTGCCCGTTTAAACACTCTGGAGCCAATGGGGTAAGCTGTTCTGATCTGTTCGAGGCTTCATTACATGTCGTTATATCCACTGAATGGTGTTCACGCTGCCGTCTGCGTGTAGCTGGGTTGCGTTTATAATACCGTTGTCAACGGGCGCTCCTAGTTGCGTGACTCTTCGCTCTTTCTTTATTCCGGCGCGTCTCCGTACTTCCGGGAAATGAAGTTCCTGATCACAAAATGATATTATAAATTGGTTCTTGCTAGTTGCGTTTGTGTGTTTGTCTGAACCCCTCTTGGGGTGGTCCCACACATATCATTTCTTTGTTTATTTCCTGCGGCATGTGCGTTTTCTGGGGTGCTATGAATAACGTTGTTAACTTGTGAGTCTTACCTCCTTGGTTTTTCCTTTTTAGTTCGGTGAGAACATCTACGCGACTTCCGGCCCAAAGGCGATGTGTTCAGATGCTGTGGGGGCCTGGTACAACGAGATAAAATATTTCAAGTAAGCTGTGAACCAGACAAACCAGGCAGGGATAACGAGGACACACAAAATTCAAGTAATGATGTGCCACGGCCGCTTTATGTTCCATTCGTTGTACTCACCTCAGCGGGAAGTATCCAGGTGGCAGCTGGACGCTCAAGACTGGCCACTTCACTCAAGTCATGTGGAGTGGAAGTACCGAACTCGGCTGCGCCCGCACTGTGGGATGCGGGAGCTCGATCCTGATTTGCAACTACAAGCCCCCTGGCAACTGGTCCGGAGAGCCTCCTTTCTCGTGAGTACTGTATGTAGTACGGATTGTAGTTTATGATTTGTGCCATTCATTTTCTAGAATTACGTATTCCAAAGTGAAGGAATTGTCCAGGAAGATGAGTAATCATATATTAAGAGCGTTTTCGGCTCACATGTAATTGGTTTGTTCTCGTTACGTGGGCATGACCTTTTGTGTCCTTATCATTTTTTCCTCCATTTGGTTGCTTCATCTGAGGCCTACATATTTTGAACTTGTGTGTATTACTGTCCGTCAGGGAAGAGGTGTGGAACAGCATAATGAGCGCTTCTAGTGCACCTGCAGTGTCCTTGTCGCCTTTTGTGGCGGTTGCTGTTATCTTTGTGGGGTACATTACCAGCACAGGCTCCGCAGTAGCGTACTAAACTGTTACTGAACTCATTGTTATCCTTCTAATTGTGGCTGGTGTGTGAATGTTTTCAAATACCACTAAATTAACACAGTGTGCGCTGTGTTGCGTCGGGTGCGCTGGCTGTCAATTCCACCACCTGTAGGGCGCAATGTTTGCCTCGAGAATGCGGAAAAGAGACGTAAAATTAAGCGTTTAATTGCCGTCCTTTAAACTCGTGCTTTAAGATGCGAGGAACGGCTAACAAAGCATCAAATCAACGGCAATGTAAACCCTTTTTTCTTGTCTGCCTCGTTGGTGCCATGTTGGCTGCTTTTGATTTAAAGCACAGGTAGTAATAGCAAGGCTTTGCTTCACTGCGGCCTGAACGCTACAGTGAGCAATCAGGACTTTACGGCGGAAGATGCATCGTTGCTTTTAGTCCAAGCTTTACACAGGCTTTATTGGGAATAGCAATCAGTAGCACACTGTATAGGCATTCTAAGATGAATTTTTCAGCTGCCAGGAATAATGCGAATGCTTCTGAGCGGACAAAATGGCAGTGGCGTTGCAAGCAGCGTTCAAGTTGCTGCTGAAAATGTACGATTTAATCGTGAACTCGAATAATGTGTTTGCCATCAGCTCATCAACTGACCGGACATTGCTTGTAGATTTGTGGCTCAGTAGTTGTTCGTGTGGAAACTTGGCTTCTTGGGCTAGCTGTACGAAACGTATCATGTGTGTGAACGTAGTGCAGTCATTTGTATTATCGGTTCGCAGTCCATGCAGAAGCAAATTTGTTCTATAGCGCGTTTGCTACCTATATACGCACATATATATATGTGTACATATGCCGATCTCCCTTGGGAATAGCTTTAACTAACATAATTCAGTTTGACAAACTACGACCTGCTCTTTTTCTCAACGTCGGCAGCAGCAGTATTTCGCTTACTTGCTTTGTCTCTTTGTTTTAGTTCCCATTTGTTCTGAACGACTGTATTGCTGTATTTCGCTGAATAAAAGCATGTGCATACACGCAAGTATTTTTATTTTTGAAGCGGGCTCTGATGCTACTGCTGCGCCAAGCCCTTGGTGCACCACCATTGGGGCAATGTAGGCGTATGATTTCGATCTTCCATTACTGCTTGAGTATGGATGGTATTTCAGCGTGCACTATCACTTTAATTAAAGGACGTCCAGTCGCAGAGGTCTTTTCGCATGGGCTGCAGTTGGCTTCATGCTCCACTGTGCCACCGTACTGCTGCAACTGCACATTCACAGCACGAAGCATGGTTGTAGAGTTCCCTAGTGGAACAGTAGTGAACCAGAAGTTTTCCTGGGTACGGGTGGCTGCTTATCTATTTTGGTGAGTTTTCTGCGGTTCAATGCTATTACTTTAGTGCAGATAGTTATTAGCGGACTGGTGCTCCGGAGCACTGTATTGTGTATTGATCGAAGTGAACGAACAGGACGTGCTTATGAGATTTAATGCGGTAGAACCCCGTGGACTGGTAGAATTCAGAGTGATTTAGAGTGGTATAACTTAGATTCCAGTCACTTTTGTTCATTCATTCCACCCGTCAGGCATCCATTGTCCTCTGCAGAGTCTAGGTAAGTTGCTCTGCCGAAAGCTTTAGCTGTGTCTGTAGCATCTTTGCTACTATGGACGAAAGATTTGCACGTCAACACCAGGCCTGGAAGGGGCGAACATTCTAACAGGACGCAACTAGCCCTGTCTCCAGCTGTGCACACTGGGGGGCCTCCCTGTGCACACTGGGGGGCCTCCCTCCCACGAGCAATTTACGAGAGTTTGCTCCGCAGCAAAGCTCCATTCTCTGCAAATCGATGTGAATACCCTGCAGACTGTCTCCACTGACGCAATTTTCTTCACATGTTCCCGAGAAAGAGGGAATTTCAAGTGCACTCATAGTAGGTAGTTGTGCGCTGTATAGATTAACTTCGACCACGAGACTCCAAGCAGTGCTCCTTTTCAACAAGTTGGGCAGCAACAGTCTGGCTCCTGTTACGACCAAGATGCATCAGGTCCTGAAAGGAATTTAACGAGCTTGCGGAGAGCAATTTGATCGTGCTACTTTGTGGCTGGCACACTGCGGCCCTCTCTGGTTCCCTTGTTCACAGCCTCGTGAGCATCGAGGGGGGCTCTCTCCGCCCCCCTCACCTGCATCCAGGGTCTTGATATAAGTTTGATATAAGTTTTTTCGGCAGTAAGACGTTTTACACCATGTACCCTTTTAACTTGGTTCCCAGTGGCAGGGCCGCCGGCGTTGTGTCTCTATGACGGGCCATCACTGCATCTGTACTTGTTGAATAATTGGCCTGATCGTAGTTTACAGTTCATCCACTGAAAATATACACTTCATAGAAGTGCACACACCTACAGAGTTGTCGAACGTTGAATATGCCCATAGCAAAGCTCCGTGAACTCGGCGGCACCGTGGGAGGCAATTGTCACGCAAACGCCTGCCCGCCGTTTAACGGTTTCACTTCAGTTCATGGGATTATCAATTACTAATTGCAACGCAGACTGCTTATGAGCAATGCGATGAGCTTTTTGAGCTGGTTGCTAAGGAGTGCCTGGGAAGCTTCGCTCTGCTTGCTGGAACGCTTTTTTCGTCTGATCCTAGTAGTTGAATCGCTGCATCACACTTTCCCCTTAATATAACAATAGAAGGAATATGATTATCAATTTGTGGGTATAAGCCGCAGCATCTTTTGGCTCATTGCATTCTTCATCTGCTCAGCGTTTGAGCGGTGCCAGAAGACCGGGCCATGCAATGAGCCAACCCCAGCCTCGCTCGCGGACAGCAGGGTGCACACTCGACGCTTTCGCAACCACACACACTTGCAAATATGAATAAGACCTACGGAAGAGGAAGTGATACATCAGATTGACTCAAATTCATGAACGAAGCATCTTCGTTCCGTTGACAGCAAGACAACAGGGTTTGGGGGGACGCGTTGGATCTAACTGGCTCTGTATGCCACATAATCTTGCATACTCAGGAAGTGTGTGGTGTATTTTCAACGCTATGGTTTGTGCTTTCTGAAGGGTATATTCCCTTCAGATTTGTCGTATCGTGGATTCCTTCAATGGCAGCGTAACCGCGTGATTGAGGTAGCGCAGAACACAGGAAGGTGTGCACCGCTTGTAATTTTCGCGCATTTTGATGTTGAATCCATATCGTTGGTTATTGTTATTTTTCTGTGCTTGTGTCTGCCTGTTTCCACGCAGATATTGGGCATTGACGGCCTGATGAGCGTCTTTTAGGGGAGGTCATCGATGAATCGTCGAGTCGATGCGCATTTATTTGGGCTCTAAGGGAGGGAAGGTTACACGAACTGGTTGGTCATCTACGTGCCGGATTTGTTCGCTTACTGAGACATCATAGGTCCTGGCAACGCGAGGAAAAAAGTGCAGGGAGTAAACGAGCAAGCTTACTGAGAGCCGACAATGGTTTGCGTTCCAGGGCAGAGCAGAGGAGGATTTTGTAGCGGCGGTCTAGCGTGCGGTTCCTTGCCGGGTCTCCCTTTCATGTCTCATGTGGTGTAGACTAATGGAAATGGCCGTAGGTATTTTTTGTGGATGACCAGTGCTGTTCCCCCGAAACTTGGCGGCAGTCCATGGCGCGAATTGGCGAAATGAATCCTCCACGTGTTGACATGCCCAGAGGCATACACGCGGGAGATGATATTTCAGGCTTATTGTGTTGGTCATGAGCGCTGCACAGTTGTAACAGATGCTCGTCATGCATCTAGTTGTCGAGCATTTGAGTGGGGCCTGTCTTTCGTTTGGAGTTTGCTAGTGGTGAACTAATGCAGATGGTGTTACACATGGCGCTACACGTGGAGCTTGCTTGCATTGCATGTAAAGTATAAACCAGATATTTTCGTAATGTGCAGGCATGTTGAAAGCATGTGGGACTAGCTTGCAATGGCCCGTATGAGGTAGGTATGCCGTGCTGCCCACGTGACACTTGTGTAGACTCTTCCCCTATAGTAGTGGTGCGTGCCAGCTTTTGCGCAGTGCATGATGAAGCGTATTGCTGTGACGTGACATATCTGCGTTTGCAAATATAGGGGGGCTTCCTCCTGCTGTCGAAGGCTGGTGGAGGGCGCTAGCTGTGTAGGACAGTTGGGGAGGACATACCGTATCGTGAACGCCTGCGCAGCCAATCAGCAGCCGTAGCGGCAGCTAGAAGGGCAGCTGCAGTTGCTGCCGCGGCAGCAGCTGCGGCAGCAGCCACAGCAGCGGCCGGCAACAGCACGGCCCCGAATTTCTCCTTCCGTGGTCCCCCTCTGTGGACATTCGCGTCGCTGTTGTCAAGCCATTTTCGTACGACAGTACAGATGCCAAGTGTAGCTGCAGAGACTTTGCTGCACTAGGTCAACAGTTTGCATTGGTTAGGGTATATTGAAATAATAGGCAGCATAGGGTGTTTTAGCGGCGTAACGTCAGTTGCAGCGTGATATGCTGCAATTTCATTAACTTGTGGAGCAGATACAAGCTGGAAAAGGCCGTGGAATTTGCTATGCATTGCAGCAGTGCAGACTTGCATCAACGTCTTGCCAGTCGTAGAGTTTATTGTTCTATGTACGTGAATTAGCATTAATAGGAACAGTTTAGAGGCCCAATTAATGTGGAGAAAAGTCAGTGTAGAGGCGTGCAGTGCATTTTATTCAGCTGTGTAGCATGGTGGTTGGAGCATACGGTGAGTACCGGCAGTGTGGGCAGTATTCAGCGTCATAGGGTTGCCTGACAAGGGTGTTGCAGGATTAAAATAGTATACGATAGTATACGGCGTTAGTGCAGGTGGAATGCGCAGATGTCGAATGTAGCATGCAGTGCCAGACTATGAATTGAGCAGGGCTACGTTAGGTGGGTTGAGTGGGATCAGAAGTGTCGGAGGGATATGTGCATTGCTTTATCTGCGTGTACGTGAGGGTGGGGAGTGGCACTGTACGCAATGTAAATGAGTGCTCATATGCGTAAAACTTGTGCACTGTTGGGGGGCGTGG